GTGAAGCTGAATGAGCTTATACAAGGCAGGCTTCAGCATGGCACTGCTCCAGGGAATCCCTATCGCAGTTAGCCATGCTTGCATATCGGCCTTCCGCGTTGTGGACGTCGGGCAGCGAGATGCATCCGTTTAACGGTGTGGTAAGGAGCATTGTCCATAACGATTACTGAACCTTCCTTCAAATTCGGAAGCAGAGAGTCTTTCCACCACTCTTGAAAGTGCTTGCCATTCATTTCGTCGTGGTAGTGCTGAGGATGTGTTGCCAATGAACACATTGGCGCCATTGTTCACAAATCCGTCCCATCCACTAGCATGCAGAACAATAACGCGCTTGCCTTTACCTGATGGTGCTTCGGTTGGTTGCTTGGCTACACTCTTGTCACCATTGTCGTACCACCTCCTAGTAACTGTGTGGTGCGCATTGACCCACGTCTCATCCAGGTACACAATTGGCTTGCCTTGAGAACGAAGTTCTCTTATGTCTCGCAGGTAGCGATGCCGCCATGACACAATCTCGGGGCGTTCCATCATTATGTGGGTGATACCTCTGGTCTTGCCATACCGGAATCCCATGGAACGCAATATTTTCCAAAAGCTAGTTTTGCTCATTTCTGGAAAATCGTCGATGGTTTCTCTGCAGCGAGTAAGAGCTTTGTCCAGTGTTGGGTGCTCCTTCGCAGCATAGAATCCGTGAATTACTTGTCTTATAAAGTCCAAAGCAAATCCGTCAGGGTTGAGTGGTTTCCTGCCACGTGTCTCACCTTGGGGATTAGTGTCACTCTCGTCGCCTTCATCACTGGAGACAGACAAGGCTGACGGAGCACGATGATTTCCGTCGTCAGCATCCCTGGCACATCGGTTCAAGGTGGAAATGCTGACGCCACACGCAACAGCAGCACGACGAACGAAGTGCTTGAGACCAATTCGATGCCCACTGGCCTTCTCGTCTTCGCAAAATTGCAACACAGACACCACCATGGCCCGTTCGCGTTTCGTCAAATGTGGCATGTCGAGAGAACAAGTAACACGTTACAAAATAGTTGCCACGAACACAAAGACACTCGAGAGAAACAAAACAGGGCCACAGAGCAGTCAGCAACAATTTTATTCTGCCGGCCATCGAAGAATACTTGCACTCTGAACTGAACAAATGCAACGAGTCACCTCTGGTTTTTCGAATTTCGCGCGCAGATTTTCGTGACGCAACTCACACTACATTTTCTCAAAAGTGGCCTTGAGTACGTTCTCAACGTTTTCAGAGTCTATTATAAAAAAATGCACTGTAGTAGCAAGTATTACCTTTAGTGGGGGAGGGGGAGGGGAAGGGGGAGGGGTAATTGTATTTGGAATGCGAGATGGATAACCTGATTTCGTCAATCCATTTTCTGCACCTTGTACAGTGCTCACGCGTTTACTGAGGTGTGGGGGAGCCCACAGGGGGGGGGGGGGGATCATTTTCAAATCCACCCGTCTCTCTCTCCCTCTCCAAAGGAGACCCGCATGGCCAGTTTTGGCAGTGAGCAATTACACGTACAAGTGTGTTTGCATGTGGGTGGGTGACTGTGTGTGTGACTGTGTGTGTGTGGGGGGGGGGGGGGGGGTGGGGTGGGGGGGTGTGTGTGTGGGGGGGGGGGGTGTTCATCAGCCTTGCAAGCTGTTGAATGGTGCAATCCCAGCACAAGTTGCTATGGCTTCTGCTGTAGCATCGCTATCATCGCCGGAGGCGGGCGTCAAATGGTCCAATGGTGTGTGTGTGTGTGCTCGTGCGTGTGTGTGTGTGCCATATGGTGCAGCGAGTTCGATTCCCGACGATTGTCACACACGTCTCCTCCTGGCTTTTCTTTCATTCTCCTGGGTGGTTACCAACAGTCAGTGCATGCCCGAGTATGTGATGTGTGCGGGGGAAAAATAAAAAGGACTAAAAAGTAGGGATTCACTGGCCAGAAAAGCCACTTCATAGCTGTATGGTGAAGACCAGGCTGAAAAGTTTTTTTTTTAAAGTCCACTATGTTCCCGAATGAATGCGGGAAGTGGCGGCGGGGCCCTGCTGCTCAGCCGACCTTGGTGGTGGCGGTCAATTCTTCAGCCTTGCAAGCTGTTGTATGGTGCAATCCCAGCAAAAGTTGCTATAGTTTCTGTTTTAGCATCCCTGTCATAGCCTCCGGTGATGGGCGTCAAAGGACCAAAGGTACATGCATACATGCACACTCACATTCATGTGTGGGTACACACTTCAGCTTGCATGTGTGCGTGGGCATGTGCGCGTATACATAAGCGCATGCACGCACTCACACGTCCGTGCGCTGGGGTGCATGTGCTATCTTCTGATGTTGCCTATCCAGTGGCGTGTCCAGGATTCGCCTGAGGGGGAGGGTTGCGGCCGGGATGGGGTGGGGATAGATGACATCATGCTACTGTCCCAACGCAGCCGTTTGGAAAACCGATGTCAAGGAGCCGTAAATCTCACACACACCACGAGCAGTATTTCTGTACACGCAACAACATAATTGTACGTAGTCCTTGTAAACTTCAAATATTTTTTAAATTAATTGTTGGCCGTAATGCGAGTGAATCAACTGCAATTGTTTATGCGAGTCCAACAATTTCTCACCGCTCAAAGCATCCTTTACATAGGCAGCGGTACTATGTCCACTTGCCACTGTGCGCTGTTCTTCATGTTCTGGCTAGTCGCTGACAACAGGTGCTTCCACGTCTGGCGGAGTGTGACTGTCAGTCCGCTCTGAAAGTTCAACTGGAAAAACAGCGACTTCAATTCATCACTCCCCCTGTTTCCTGTTGGAGCGGCAGCAGGAGTTGCGCAGCCACAGGAACGCTTTGCAAAAATTCCAGGCTCTGCTGGCTAGAGCTTGGCCTTTTGGGATGTCGCTGAGACATCGAAGAAAAGTCTTCCAGTCAACCGAAACACGATTCGAACGAGGATGATCGCCTGAGCCCTCGGCATTCGAATCGTGTTTTGGTTGACTCGAAGACTTTTCTTCGATGTTTGTACGTTGAAGACGCGTCTAGCGCGTCCCAGCAGGGATCACACTGTACAACAGTACAGTGTACACAGTCAGGTCACCGTGTTTCTGTAGTCGTGCATGCTCACTGACTGTACTCTGTAGACTGTTTACTACTCAGTGTAGTGTACTAGTAGTCGGCTAGTCGCCTGTGTACTACAGTTCTGGCAACTGAAATCCGACCCCCTGAGCGGTGCGCTCACATCGCAAAGACCCAACACGCGATAGTAAAACTACGAAAGAGAGACCGCTAGAATGTGAACGCATCGCTAAGGGGCGGGATTTCAGTTGCCAGCACTCTAGTACTCTGTACACTGTACAGTGTGTACAATCAACACCAGCTCCAGCACCGTAGATCTACCGTGCAACCGCTTTTGGACGGTCGTTTCAGGCCGCGCGCGCCCGCCCCGAGCCTAGCTAGCCCTGCCTTTCATTTTTCGAAACCTAGGTCGAAACATTTGAGAGGGGGGGGGCGCCCCCCCCCCCCACCCCCTAAACCTGCCACTGCTATCCTATGCTTTCCTTTGGTGGTGCCAAGTAGAAGTCTGTTGTAGTTCCTCTCAGAAGTGCATGTGGAACTCGCAGTGATTGTTATTCTACCTTTGTTTCAAACAACCTTGATTTTTGAGGTACAGTATCTCCCCATAGGGTACCGTGACAAAGTATTTTGTGCAATGGCAGCAATGCTTACCTGAACCAGTGAAGAACGCGTAGAACAAACCGTTGAAGCTGGCAAGCTGCAGGCTTGCCGAGTTGACAACACCACCAGCAGATAAATAGGCCACGCAGAGTGCCGACATGGGTGATGATGATCTTGCACGTTTGGCGACTGGTCAGCGGCGCGTAGATCTACGGCTGTGGCACTGGCAGCCAAGATCACGTATCCCAAGCATCTCCCCTATATCTACAGTGAGTAAGGACTCAGGGCGGGCACGCCGACTTGGCAGCAAGTAACAACTCGCCTACTCCGCCGGAACTTCGCTCGACTCGACCTCAGTAAGACCTGGAAATAAACTTTTGAAACTTTGATTTGTGCACTATGGCTGGTACCCACCCTATGAGGCTAAGGAAATAATCGTCATGCTTTGTTTGGCCTAAGCACCATGTTTAGTGACGTGACTAGTGGATTGGACCAGGCGATGGGTTGATGTGGCGCTAGCTCTAGCTCTTCTCACTTTGAAATGAAAGTCAAAATCACAACAAAAATGTATGTCACCCCCGCGGGTTTGAGAAAGTAAGCTTGCAGCGTCGTAGTCTTCTGCACAGGCGCATACTACTGTAGTCACTGATTTGAACGTTAGAGCGCGCGCATCTCCTTCTCAAACCGAGAAGTCGACTGAGAACGAAAATAGTTGCGCCAAGAATGCTTGAGAATTGTGAAATGTATGCGTGTTTGTATGCGTGTTTGTATGCGTGTTTTAAAAACAAAATGGCGTCACGATTTATTGAAAGTGGTATAGTTGGTGGTACGAGTGTTCAAACCCATTTGAACTTCATACTGTTCGTCTTCTTTTTGACATGCTCTCTTTCCATCGTCCTTAGCTTTTGTTTGTTGTGAGTTGTTTTGGCTTTCTCCTGTACCTCTGGGGGATGCCAAGTGATGGTTTTGAGAGGCTGGTGATGGCTGTGAGCGAGAGTTTGCCGATCGGCGTCGTCCTCGCTGTAGCGATGAAAATACTAGTTACTGCGCACCTGGCAGATATAACAACATGTCGGAGCGTCCAGGAGCAAAGGAATCTTGGGTTTTCACTGGAATCTAGTTCCTCCAGCATCGTGTAGCCCACCGTCGGTGAATGGCGGTCCAGAAAGGTCGACCCTGGTCTTCTGCAGCATCTCGCAGTCCTGCGAGGCACACCGGCTGAATACGCCTGTCATGTATTCTACAAATAAAAATCACGAAGAACACACTGTAGTGGACTTTATAGTGATGAGTCTATCCTGTATGCTGCAAAAGACGCAGGAAATGTGACTGGTGTCCGTACACTGGACGCCAATATCATCCCAGTCTTCTCCTGCAGGATCTGTTTGACATTTTTTTTTTTTTTAATGGAGGCGGGAGGCCAA